CAGCAGAATAATTCACTGTTCACTGTGTCATCGGGTCCAAGTTCGCTTGATGAGCGTTCTGGAGACCTTCAACGAATAGTTTGGTCACCACGTTCGCCTGGCATATTTTCAATCAAGCATTTATGGAACGTTGTGGAGAGGTCTATTTGTATGCAGGATCATGCCTGCAAATATTAGAACGCTGTTGTCAGTTATTGAAACAGCATAACGCATCAATTATCCCGATCTACCAACCTTTTATGGAATCGAGGTCACTATGAATTGCTGAAGTTCGTCAGACTAGAGGGGTGTCGGTACTTGATATTCAGCACCTGAGACATGACATTTGAATGACATATATATATATATATATATATATATATATATATATATATATATATATATATATAATTAATTAAATCCGACAACTATTTTAATATATGATCTGTTTATAAGTTATTTTTATGGATACAACTTGTTCTGGTAAGCATTCAGGTCTGTAAATATAATTAATTAAAAAAACAGGGCATTTACTCAAATAAGTTGTATGAGAAAAAAAATAGCCTATAAAAAATATATATATATATATATATATATATATATATATATATATATATATATATATATATATATACACAAACACACGCACACACACACACACACACATATATATATATATATATATATATTTGAAGTAAGTAGAGAAACAGTCTAAATTCACTATTCTTATCTTGATAAACACTTTCAGCAATAATCGTTAGCACATCAGCAGTTGATCTGGAAAAAGCGAAAGCCATTTTGCCCGACTGAAAGATTTATTTTATTTCTCTTCCATCACTGTTAACTCTAAAATCAATGGAAGAAATTACTTTAAGTTTTTAATATATTTTAGAATTATAACCAAATTAAAACTTTCTGTTTTATACATATATATATATATATATATATATATATATATATATATATATATATATATATATATATATATATATATATATATATATATATATATATATATATATATGTATATTCACTCAGGTTTCGTTAAATATTTTAGACACGTTCTGTCTACTTATTTTCGATAAGATCCTTTCATATTCGCGAATAAGCGTTTTTGTGCGGCTATTCAAAGACGAGAGGAAAACACCGTGTTGGCTCATATTGAGTACTTTCGACATAGAATAAGGTCATCATCAGGGCTTTGTTAGATATAGAGTAAGTATTTAGTGTTCATGGTTGTGAAGGACAAAAATTGTTGTGATCATCCGAAGATTATCATTTTTAAATATGTAGTCACAAACGATGTGTCATGGCTAGTTGACAGACATCGTTTAAGGGGAGGTAACTAGGTATGGTGTAGAAACGTTCCGGGCTTGAGTAGTTGCTACATAAAGGATAAACTATTAATGACAAGCGCTAAAATTTAAAGATTATCTCTTGTACACATTTTAAAATGTCTGTGGAGCATTCTTAATTAATTTTATTGAGGTTTGGTTTCGATTATTTTATATAAATAGCTTCCAGAATTTTTAGTTTGTGTTTATTCTTTTCGTGGAAAAGTATGGAGTTATTTTCGATGAGGATTTTTCTGAATTGCGCGTGTGGACATGTATATTGTTATAATTTTTTATGATTTTATTAGATATATTGGATTTAGTGTAGTATATATATTTAGTGTAATATATATATATATATATATATATATATATATGTGTGTGTGTGTGTGTGTGTGTGTGTGTGAATGTGTAGAAAAAGATGTTTATAGAAATATATGTATATATATATATATATATATATATATATATATATATATATATATATATATGACTCTACAGTGGTATGAGGGTCAAGCAGTTCATTTCCTCGGAACCGACAGCCCAGACACCAGCACAAGTGATTTGATTATAATGGTGTAAAATCCATACATTTTAAAGGGACGAATATACAGAGCTGGTACCATAAGGTCACCAAAAACGACCCTCCGCAGATTTTGAATTCAGAGGTGTCCTTCTCTTAGATGAGTTTCCATTCAAGGGTGTAGAAACCAGTCTATCCTGCTATTTACCCATAGCTGGCGGGATAAGAAGAGAATTCAAGTGTATTAGCAGGTATGTGTATATAACAGATTCGACTGAATTCGAACTAGGCTCTGATTCCTCAATCCAAGCTGCTATCCATTACGCCACTGCCTGCCTGCCTCTGCATCTCTCTCTCTCTCTCTCTCTCTCTCTCTCTATATATATATATATATATATATATATATATATATATATATATATATATATATATATATATATACAGGTTTGATTAAAAAAGAACAAAAATATTTGTCCGTTTTTAATATATATATATATATATATAAATTTAATATTTAATTTATATATATATATAAATTAAATATTAAATTTATATAATTTTCTCTCTCTCTCTCTCTTTTATATATATATATATATATATATATATATATATATATATATATATATAGAGAGAGAGAGAGAGAGAGAGGTTTGATTAAAAAGAAGAAAAAATATTTGTCCGTTTAATATATATATATATATATATATATATATATAAATTTAATATTTAATTTATATATATATATATATATATATATAAATTAAATATTAAATAATATCTCTCTCTCTCTCTCTCTCTCTCTTTATATATATATATATAGACAGGTTTCATTAAAAGAAAAAAATATTTGTCCGTTTAATATATATATATATATATATATATATATATATATATATATATTAAACGGACAAACATCTTTTGTTCTTTTTAATCAAACCTATATATATATATATATATATATATATATATATATATATGAAAATTTAATATTTAATTTATATATATATATATATATATATATAAATATTAAATTCATATAATTTTCTCTCTCTCTCTCTCCCATATATATATATATATATATATATATATATATATATATATATATATATATATATATATATAGACAGATTTAATTAAAAAGTACAAACAATGTCTGTCTGTTTAATTTTTTTATTGTATTTTTCTAATTACCGGATAATTTAATATTGTGCCCGAAGTTGTAGATAAAGTGTCCGAAATTCATATTTTGTTATTTTTGTTCAATTTCTTTCGAATTTCGTAGTTATTAACCTGAACCTATATGTCGTCTGTGTGGTAGTTAGAATTTCTTTGTTTTCATCTTGGCATTCTTTGGGATGCTGAACATTTGAAATGGTCCATGCGTGACGTCATGCTAACGGTTATTGGGAACGAAGCCACACAAAATGAATGAGATTTTTTGTATATTTTAATACTAATATAATTGCACACGGTTATTATATCATATGTGCTTTGATCTCTTGTAATGAAGGAAATTTTATTTTATGTAGGTTGTTTATTTTGTATGACAGTAGCTTCTAGAGTTTTGAGGTTTTTTCCTTGCATTGGGTGCTGTAAAGTATTTTTTGTTTCTTACGAATACAAACAATCTAATAAATAAATAGTGTTTATTATTTTTGTTGTCAATTCTCAAGAGCTAAGAAAATGTATAAATTCACTTTCACGTGTTTAGGTTTTATTAAAATCCTAATAATTGATTCTTAAAACAATAATAATTGCTGAGGAGTGAAGGTAGTTAAAATAATAGTAGTGTCAAAGGAAAATAAACGTCTTTTTGACACTGTTTTATTGTGGGTATCAGGGACCTAAATTATCAATTTTTTATACCTTATTATTTCTTATTACTATAAACATTATGTTTGGTGGGGACACGTTTTTGGGTTATTATCCCTGTTTTTTCTTGAGAGAGCAGCATTTAGTTGTGCCATTAGTCTACCACCCCTTTGTAATTCTGCTTTTTCAATCTTTACCTAAATTCACTTTATAGTTAAGGGATCACAATGTTTTAGAGTAAATGGAAATGAAATGATCGCCAATGTCATTGCACATGTAATAATATACTAGACATTTACTTTGAGGGCTACACTATGAGTCAGTTAACATAATGGATTTTTTTTGGCAAACTTGGATCTTCATACAGGCCAAAAAAATGGAGTGTCAAAAAGATGATTTTTTTTCCATTTACACTGCTATTATTTTAAATACCTTCATTCCTCGGCAATGTTTATTGTTTTAAAAAGTGATTATTAGAGCTGTAATGAAGCCTAAACATATGATGAAAGTGAATTTATATATTTTATGTTCTTGAGAATGTGCAACAAATATATTAATATCTATTTATTAAAGTGTTTATTTGTAAGACTAATTTTATATTTACAACATTCTAAAAACTAATACAGTTTTATTAAAGCATTGCCAAGGAGTGAAGGTAGTTAACATAATAGCGGTGTCAAAGGAAAATCAACGTCTTTTTACAGGCACGAAGTTCAAAGATTGCCGAAAATTAGATAGTACATAGCGGTTCAACATTCTTTTCTTCGATTCTAAAGAAAATTTCGCTTATGAGTTTGCATAGTTCTTGGAAGACACCTTATTCTCTTCCTATGTGGCTTCTCAATTCTGTGTCACTTATCCGTCGTCTGTTACTTTCCTTCCTAGATGGATGGACAGCTCTTTCACTAGAACCCTTTTTTATGGAACAAACACTCGAGAGGTTGCTTCTCTCTGACTACAACATTCGTAACCTGTTCAATTTGTGGGTGAACCTTTAACCATTCTATATGCCATCATAATATCCACTTCTTATTTTATGCTTTAACAACAATCTCATTCAATAAAACTTTGCTTTCAGTGGCTCTTGGATCTTATATTGCGTGAACAATAATATAGAAACATTTTAAACCTTTTTTCTTTCTTTCATTTACTGTCATATTTAACTCTTTCAAATTTCCTTCTATATCTCGCACATTCAACCAAACATTGAAGAAATCGCGAAGAAAGAACTGACACATGTTTCACACTAAATAAGAATCAATATTGTATGAAGATGTGGGGGGAGAAAAGAAAGAAAGAATTTAGAAAGAAAAGAAAGAAAGAAATAATAATAAAAATACCGGCCTCATATG